AAATTATCAAATATATCATATTTTGATAATAAGTATTTATATATAAATATTTATATTTAGTATAAACATTATTTAGTATAATTATGTATTTTACTACATAAATTTAAAAAGAAATAATTTTTAACATTTTGTTTAACTGTCATAATTTATAAGAATTGTATGTTAATAATATAATTAGTACTTAAATATTTGAAAGATGATCAATAGAAAAAGAAAAATCTACTTTTTAGTTAAAAATTTTTTTATTAGTTTATTCTGTTAAATATGATCATATAAATAAAACTAGTTTAATAACTAAAATTATTCAAAATTTGTAAATTTTCTCTTTTCTTTTATATCTTCAATTTTATTAAAATTATTATTATATTTTATTACATATTTTATTATGAAAAAACTAAATATATTTACAAATAATATTATCTGTTTAAATTAACATGATGTTATATCATTTAATACACCTTCTTTCAAATAATTTTTTCTTTTTTTATATCTATTTTTTCTTTTATCATATCTATATGATATATTTTAAAATAAAAATTATTATTCTTATAATGATTTCTTTTTTGAAGTAAAAATAAAATTATCTATAATTCTAGTAATGATTTTCAGTCATAAACTTAATTAGAAAATTATTTTGACATATACATTCTTTAAGAAGAATTTTTTTACAAAAAGACAAGTTTGAATATTATTTAAATCAAATAAAAATGAAGGATTTTATAAAAGAAGAAAAGATTGAGCTAATCAAAAGATGTATTTATAAATATTTATATTTCTAAACTTATACATCTAAAAAGTTATATAATTTAATAATCAAGAAATTAAAATATTTAACAAATTAATTATCTTTAGCATATAAACATAACTAAATTAAAAGATCAAAATATAATATGAATTTTATTAATAAATTATAATAATAATTATATAATTTATCTTATAATTCATAATGTAAAAAATGAATTAATAAATATTATTTTTATATTTTTTATTAAAAGTAAATTATCTAATTTATTTTATCTATAAAAAGATCTTTATAATATAATTCAAAAATATAAAGTTAGAAATAAAGATGAATTATTAGTGATATTTCTAATCTTTTATGATTTTTATCTAACAAAAAATTATATAATTCTGAGTAGTTTTTTAAATTTTAATTAATTGAAAATAAGCAAAAGTTGAAATCGCTTATTTAGATATCATCAAAATAATGTTCATATTATATTAAATTTTATGAGGTCTTACTTTTTGATTATATAGCTAGTATCAACTGCTATAATATAGTATTATATTTATTAATTATTATTAATAGTAATACTTATTTAGGATTAATTACAGGTATTCTCTTAGAAGATAAATAGAAAATTCTTTTGTCTAAGTTTTATAACAATTAAATATCTAAAATAATATATATTTTTATATTATTTATATAGATTGTAATTCTGTAATAGCAAATATAATCTGTTTAATTTATCTAAAATACAATATTTTTTTAGTAAATAAATTTAGATTTAACATTAATTTAAAAAATAAGTTTCTTTTATTTTTATTATAAAATACTTATATTTATATAGTTAAAAGATATAATTACAATTTATTTTATATATTATCTTATTATTATAAACTTTAATTAATTAAAAAAAATTGATTAATTATAAAAAATAAAATTATTAAAATTAATTTTATTTTAATATTTTAATTATTAAAGATATTATTATATTTTTTAATAAAAAAAATTAAGAAAAATATAAAAATATATTATTAATTAAAAATAATTTTAAAGATTCTAAAATTAAAAGATTATAATAATTAATAAAATTTTATAAAAATTACATATTTTAAAGTTATTTAAATAATATATATTAAATTAAATTTTTTTTATTATAAAAATATTTTAAAAATATAATAAATAAAATTAATTATAAAAATAATTAAAATTATTTCTACATAAATTTTTTTTATTATATTTATTAGTATTTTATAATTTTATTTAAATAAGATTATATAGACACTTTATAGTAAAAAGGAAGAAAACTATTAAAAAAATTTTTACTTTATAAGTTAAATATAAAAAAAGTTCAGATTTTACTAATTCAAAAAATTTTTTACTATAATTATTACTATAAGTTCTCATATATTATAAATTAAAATTAAATTATAAATTTAAAATTTATTAATTTAAAAATAGAAAATTTTAAGAAATAAATAAAATACATTTAATTTATATTTATTTTAATAAAGAATTATCAAAATAATATTATTTTATAAATTAAATTATTTAATAATATATGATTTAAATTCTACTAATCTTTATTTTTGCAAATATGATTTTAATCTATAATATATGAAAAAATTTTATTTTTATATATATAATCCAATTTGAATTATTTGTTATTAAGTAAAAACTTTTTATCTATAAAGAATTTTGATGTATTTATATTTGATATAAGAAATAAATTTTTCTAAATTTAGTTACAAAAAAAAAAATAATGAATATTTTATTATGTTATTATTGTAATACAATACAAGTCGTATCATATGTGTAACAACATTCATAAATTATACTATGGTTGATCATTAAACAATATATATAAGATCTCAAATCCCGTCTATTGCTCCAATTTCTGCACCGCGTAAACATACCGTAATTCATCAGCCCCTGTATACAGTATTGGCTAAAAATGTCGACACGGTAAAGTTCATCACCATATACGAAAAAGTATCAAATTTTCCCATTTTTTCTTCTAAATCTTTTCGAAATGCTAAAATTTCTTATGCAGATTGGACCGTTTGGTCCTTCTTCTGGACACAGGATCTACGCCTGCTGTACGTGCAACGGCCGCTCAACAGTTGGGAGAGATCCAAAAGCAACACCCTGGAGAGCTACATAACCTTTTATCAAGGGTCCATTTTATTTTTTTTTTATTTTTATTTTTTTTATTGATCGTTTTTTTAATAATTCCAAATAAGTTTCGTAATAACTTAAAAGGCGCGTACATTTATCAGGTTATCATACATTTGAGCAATAAAGAATGGGACACTCGAATTGCCGCTGGACAAGCGATCGAGGCCATTGCTAAAAATGTACCGCAATGGGATCCTCCTGAAAGTATGCTAGATATTTTTCTTTTACTTTTTTTTCACTTTTATCATTTATAGTTAATTTCTAATTCTATTTCATATATAATTGTCCTATACGATTTTTTTTTTTTGACATATTCTTTAAAAACAACTATAGTTATAAAATTAGAAAACGAACCATATACTGTAAACAAAAAAAATGATAATAAATATTCATTCGAAACATTTGATATTGCAAGTGTATTGCAGAAAGGGAAAACTTTGTTGGGTTCAGCTGGCAAGGTATGACGAGTAAGCTTATTCTTCTGTAAAGTATGAACACGTGATTTTAACGAATGAAAAATATGGTGTTAGGAATATGATCTTGACTTAAGTGATCTAGATCCCGCACAACGGTTGGCACTTCAACATAAAAACCTTAAAGAACGATTAGGGTTAGGTAGCGAATTCATGGATGGTGAGTTAAAAGAAAGTCGTATTATTTTCAAAAGTAAATAAATCATTATTAATTAAACTCGAAATTAATACAATTATGTAGTTGATTTGTTGGATGATGTGGATATAAGTGGAGCTTCAGCACCACAAACTACACAACTACAAAATACAGAATTTATCGCCCAACCCCAACCTACCCAACCCCCTCAACCTCGCTCTCCTGGATTGCCTCCGGAAGAAATGTCTGGGTTAAGTGCACGAGAAAGAAATAGATTAAAGAGAAAGGCAAAAAGCGATGCTAAACACAAAGGGAAAGAAAAGTATGTCCAATAGGAAGATATTTCAATTTGTGATTAACATTAGTTTTAACTTCTGGTTTTTTTCAGAATGCGTGTAGTGGAAATGAGTGGAAGAAGAGCAGGCGCTGAAGCTACAACACCACTTGTAGCCCCTATTTCACCATCTAACGTAAAAGCTGAACCTGATGGTAATTATTATTTCATAATCTCAAGTAAATGCTTACATGAACAATAACGTTAACAAAATAACTGCGTATTGAATATAGGATTACCTGATTCTACACAAAATGATGGTTACTTTAATTTTACTCCACAACCTTGTTCTAGCAAGATTGTGGTTGAGGCTAAAAAAGACATTTCTTCTAATATATCTGAAGAACTATCCAATGAATGGCCCTTTGAAAAAGTGTGTGAATCATTATGTGTGTCTTTGTTCAAGTAAGTTAATTGAAATTAATAATTATAAATTGCTATAGTTTTAGATTTGTATTTCACACAAATATAAATATTTTTAGTTCATGTTGGGAAGTTAGACACGGTGCATGTATTGGACTGAGAGAAATATTAAAAGTACATGGACACGGTGCAGGTAGAGCTGGTATGTTTAATCGAAGGATATGATAAATATAGTTATATAATTTAGCGAATAAATTAATTTATTAATATTACATTTTAACTAGTTGGATTAACTAAATCAGAAAATGAAGCCCGCCATAATAAATGGTTGGACGATATAGCAATTCGGTTGCTATGTGTTTTTGCTTTAGATAGGTTCGGTGATTTTGTATCAGACCAGGTAAAGAGATAGGTTTAAGTTAAAATATAACAAATTAGCAACTTTATTCTTATCTAACCTCTCTATAACAGGTTGTTGCACCTGTACGTGAAACATGTTCGCAGACTATGGGTGCTCTTTTACATTATATGTCACCTCAGGGTGTAGAAAATGTACATAGGGTATTATTGAGAATGATTTATCAAACAGATTTACTTGATGGTAAGACATCAATATGGGAGGTTCGACATGCTGGAATGTTAGGTTTGAAATATGCTGTTGCAGTTCGTAAGGACTTGGTAAATATGATGTTGGATGGTACCGTTGGTGCTGTTATTTTAGGGTATGCCATGTTTAATATATGCTTCATGGACTTCTTTCTTATCAAAGGCATAGATAGGTTTTTGATAGGAACCGAGTCTTATGATTTACAATTTTTTGTAATCTTTTCACTATTGTAGATTAAAAGATAGTGATGATGATGTTCGTGCGGTAGCTGCTTCAATCTTAATTCCAATTGCAGATTCTTTTGTTAGTCTTTCATCCCATAAGATACCTGAAATTGTTTCAGTTTTGTGGGATTGTCTGAAGGATTTGAAGGATGATTTAACTGCATCCACGGCAAGTGTAATGGATTTTTTAGGTAAATTTTTAATATTAAGTAAACTTATTTTTTTTAAAAAAAAAAAAATAAATAAAAATAACAAAAAAAATTTTTTTTTATTAGCTAAATTATTTTCATTTCCAAGTGTATTGGAATATATGCGCCATGCAGCTGCATCAGATCCAAGGTAGAATAATAGATATTCTATGATAATGTATGATTTTATTTTAAAAATCTTATCAACCCTTAATTTTATTTAATTTATAATTTTAGCCATTCTTTAACGACATTAATACCGCGTCTATATCCATTTTTTCGGCATACCATTACATCTGTACGTTCCGCAGTCCTTAATACCCTTTTAACTTTTTTGGGTATGAATAGTTCAGAAGAATGGGTTGATGATCGTACTTTTAGACTTGTGCTTCAGAATATGATAGTCGAGGAAAAAAAGGTACGAGTAAAAGATTTATTAAAGATTTGCTATTATTTAAAAAATTTTCATGAACATTTTAAACATACAGGAAGTCCTCGATCTATCCGTCCAAGTTTGGTCAGCATTGATGTATCAAAACCAACTCATTCAATTTACATCTCCATATATACGAACTTGGTTCACGATAATTATGACACCACTAGGCACTCCAATTGATCGTCGGTTATTTTACATACCCGAAGGGACAATCCCAATGGAAATAATTTCTACGACAATATCAACCACTTCTACATCGAATTCACGTCGGCGTGGGCAAGGTCGTAACCAAGCAATTAACGGAAGCACGGATGAATTAGTTGGACATAATATTGATGTTGGAATGTTACAACAGGATTTTGCGTTAGTTAGTGTAGATACAGTGCTAAGAGGCAGGGTTGCTGCTTCTAAAGGATTGGGCATGCTTATGAGTAGATGGCCAAATGAAGTATGTAAATCATATCTTGTATTTCATTAGATGGATTGTAAACGAGCAGTTCTAGCATAACTTTGCTTTTTTATATCATAATACTTATTTATTATATTATTTATTTGTATATATTAGTCATTGGAGCTAACTTTTAAGGAAATCCTTATGACATGTCTTTCATCTTCATGGGCTTCAAATAAACAACTTTCTGCAGTCATTATTGAGGAATGGTCAAGATCAGTCTTAGATAATAGTTGTCAAAGCTTTCAAAGTTCATTGGTACATACTTCGTCATTTGCTTTAAATATCTCTGAATTTATGGTTCAAATGCTTGAATCCGATCCACCAACCTTCTATGCAGAACTTGTTACTATATTACGTCGTATCAGAGGCGAATGCCAAGCTATGCTGAACACTTTTGTTTCCGTAGGTAGAATCAATTCAGCTAATGTACCAGCTTTACCGATATACGTTCTTGGTGAAGTAGTACAGTTAGATGCATCACAATTATTTAGTGTTGAGATTGCGGCAGAGCTTGCGACAACAACATTCAATAATTTATCTGCTCAAGTTTCTGGGAGAAGTAGAAGGTCTGCGCAAGTCCAACCAGAGGAACGACAGTCGCAACTACAGGATCGCCAGCGTCGTGTGCTAGCTTCAATCGGTTACTATGAGTCGACAAAACAAAAAAATGACATTATAGTGTTTGCTGCTATTGCAGGTGCCGTTGTAGCATTACAGTTTTTACCTCCAAAATTGAATCCAATAATAAGATCTATCATGAATTCTATTAAATCTGAAGAGAATTTAGGGTTACAACAACGTTCTGCCGCTACTTTAGCCAGCCTTGTTTCTCTTTGTTCAGTAGCAGCAGATAGTTCAATTAGAGTTAATCCCAATGATAAAATTGTTAAAAATTTGTGCACTTTCCTTTGTTCTGATCCGACAACTACTCCTGATATTCAGAACAATCATAAAAAGGAAGGTATTCTATCATTACTTAAAGCTAAAGAACCAGACAAGGCTTCGTCTAATGGCGATACGTCAGGCGAGGACGAGAAGCTTAAATCACAAAGATTAATAAGACGAGGTGCTGAAACAGCACTGAGAGAGTTTGCTATGCAATTTAGTCATAGGTTATTTGAAGTAGTGCCAAAATTGTGGACCTGCATGTGTTCATCGTTAGATAACGTATTCAGCCAAGGTATATACCTCTTTAATTTTATTAAATCATTGTCTAGAAATATATTAACTTATCGATAAAATTTATGTATAATGAAATTATAGACGACGAAGATACTATAGGCATATCACTTAAAACAAATAATAGTATAGGGCAAGACGTTATTGATTCTCTTCAAATAATTCAATCATTAGTTCCTGTAGTTCATGAAAATTTATATTCAAAGGTAATTATTATTTCTTTATTAATTCATTTCCATCATTTTAACTTGAACAGTTAATTATAAAATTTTTAACGATGCGTTTTTAATTGCACCTTACAGTTTACGGAATTGCTACCTCATATCGTCAAAGCTATTCAATGTCAATATTCTGTAATTCGGTTCATGGCTGCAAGATGTTTTGCTACTATTGCAAGTGTAATCACAATACCAAGTATGCAAATAATAATCCATCAAGTAATACCTTTATTGGGTGATTCACAAAACGTAATACATCGTCAAGGAGCAGCTGAGTTAATTTATCGTACGTCATATAACATATCGTAATTAAAAAGTAAATAATTACATGTATTTACCTCAATTTATTTTATATTTATAGATGTCGTACAAACTATGGATGCAAAAATTCTGCCATATGTTATTTTCTTAATTGTTCCAATTTTGGGTAGAATGAGTGATGTAGATGAAAACGTTCGATTAGTTAGCACGAATTGTTTTGCTATGTTGATCAAATTAGTACCTTTAGAGGTAAATAGGAATTTTGATATACATTGCTGATATTGCTTTTGCGTTTAGAAAATTTTTTTCCTCTAACGTTAAACTATTTTATATAGGCTGGTATACCTGACCCACCTGGACTATCAACTGAATTATTAAAGCACCGTGATGATGAACGGAGATTCCTTTCACAACTTCTTGATAGTAATAAATTGGATCCTTATGAAATTCCAATAAATATCAAAGCTGAATTACGGAAATATCAGCAAGAAGGTGTCAATTGGTTGGCATTTTTGAACAAATATCAATTACATGGCATATTATGTGATGGTAAGATTTAATGTATATCTCTTAAATCAAATATTACATATAAATTTTAATTAGAATTAAAAAAAATATATATATATATTGTTACTTTATTATTGTTTATTCATGTTTTATAGATATGGGTCTAGGTAAAACTCTTCAATCCATATGTATTTTGGCGAGCGACCATTATACTCGTTCTGAGAAATATAGTCAAACAAAGTCTCCAGATTGTGCCCCTTGCCCATCTTTAGTCGTTTGCCCCCCTACTTTAACAGGACATTGGTATCATGAAATATTAAATTATACAGATACGCTAAAGCCACTTCTGTATTCTGGTAATCCAAAAGATCGAGACAGGTACAATATTCTTCATTATTATGGTTACATGTTTATTTATTAATATTGATAATTTGTATTTGTATTTGATAGACTTCGACCGAAAATCAACAATTCTGATGTTATTATTATGTCATATGATATAGTTCGCAATGATATTGAAGATTTGGCTAATATAAATTGGAATTATTGTATCTTAGATGAAGGCCACGTTATCAAGAATGGTAAAACAAAGATAACAAAAGCGGTCAAATCTGTAAAGGCCAATCATCGATTGATATTGTCTGGCACTCCAATACAGGTTAGTAATAATGTTAGTGAATCCGAACTTGATTTAAGAAAATATTTTGATTTGACTTTACTTTTATTTAGAATAATGTGCTAGAATTATGGTCACTTTTCGATTTCTTAATGCCCGGATTTTTAGGTACCGAAAAACAATTTAATGAACGTTTTGGCAAACCAATACTTTCAAGTAGAGATAGTAAGAGTTCCTCCAGAGAACAGGAAGCTGGTTAGTTACATTTCGTTCTTATAAACATTAATTTTTTTAGAAAATTTGTATGTATCGTTCTAACAACATTTCTTTTAGGTGCTTTGGCACTCGAAGCCTTACATAAACAGGTTCTTCCATTCTTGCTGAGACGCTTAAAGGAGGATGTTTTGAATGACTTACCTCCGAAAATCATACAAGATTATTATTGCGAGCTTAGTGATTTACAGGTATGGATTTATGCGGTTTATCCTTTTTAATTAAACATTTAAAACTAATGAATGTTTCATTGTTGCTTTTCAAATGAATAGAAACAACTTTATGAACAATTTGCTAAATCACAAGCTAAGAGCAGTGTTGAAAGTGAACTTGGAACGGAACATATAGAAGAAGAAGGCGACAAGAAAGCTACACATATATTTCAAGCATTACAGTATTTGCGCAAGTTATGCAATCATCCTTTATTAGTAATGAATGATAAACATCCACAATACCGCATTGTCATGGATAAACTCAAGTCTAGCAGGTCTTCGTTGCATGATTTGGAAAATGCTCCAAAATTGCTTGCTTTGAAGTAACTATATTTAATTTCGTTTATTGCATTATTTTAGTATAATTAATTTATAAT